ACATTAGCCTGATGGGACCAAACTCCCTTTGTGATTTTAAAACGTAAGACAGTACCCAGATTTGAAGTCTACAGTAAGATTTAACTTCTACTGTTAATAAGATTTTGGTAGGCTACTATTAGATGGATAGCCTAAATGTCCTAATTCAGGACATTCAATAAAAAAAAAAAATTATTATTATTTTTATGGTATATCAAAAAGTGTATATTTTTTTTAATGTGATTGTTGGTACATTTTACCAGTTTTTACCATACTTTCAAAACAAAAATTAAAATAGGAAAAATATGCAATATGAAAATAATTGAAGACAAAATGTGTTTTACTGAGAAAAAACAAGATTTGGTTTTTAAAAAGCCTTTTTCCAAAAGGTACATCTGGAAAAGGGGGGTCGTCTTATAATCAGGGTCGTCTTATATTCGGGCCAATACGGTATTTTAAAATGCAAATTATTGCTGTGATGGCAAAGCTGAATTTTCAGCAGCCATTATTCCAGTCGTCAGTCTCACATGATCCTTAAGAAATCATTCTAATATGCTGAATTGGGGTTCAATAAACATTTATTACTATTATAAATGTTGAAAACACCTGCGCTGCTTAACATTTTTGTTCAAAAGAACAGCATTTATTTTAAAAAGGAATCTTTTGTATCAAAGTAAAACTCTTCAGTGTCACTTTTGATCAGTTTATTGCATCTAATTTTAAAATCTTACGTTCCCCAAACTTCTGAATGGAAGTTTACATAATTTTAACATTCAGACTTCCTCACATATTTAGCGATTCTGTTTGCCTGTTAATTTCTACTAACTCTCACCTGTCTCTGGGCACATCCAGAGCTGTATTGTAATCAGGGGGTCCTCCAGGAAGCATATTGAACAGCAGGTGGTTCATGCCTTTGTCCCACCTAAAAACATATCAATAAACATATATACAGGTGCATCTCAATAAATTAGAATGTCATGGAAAAGTTAATTTATTTCAGTAATTCAACTCAAATTGTGAAACTCGTGTATTAAATAAATTCAATGCACACAGACTGAAGTAGTTTAAGTCTTTGGTTCTTTTAATTGTGATGATTTTGGCTCACATTTAACAAAAACCCATCAATTCACTATCTCAACAAATTATTTCCACGACATTCTAATTTATTGAGATGCACCTGTAGCTTGAAACAGTCAGTTATGAATTGAAAAGAAAAGAAATGATGTGTGTGAAAATATGAGTTATATAAATAACAGTTCATAAGAGTGCCAGAAGTGACACTGTAAAAGAGAAAGTGCTAATGTAATAAAAAAAATACATTGAGGACCCAGTAAAGCCGAAGTAGGCAAGGGTAATTTGCAAATACTCAAAGAAGTATCTACCTGGGCAGCATGGCCAGTGCTTGAGCAATTTCACGAATCCGCAGAGAGTTCTGATTCAACACATCAATGGAGGGTATGAACAGACATGCTCTGGTCACATCATCAGTGTAAAAATCACTTTCCGATATGGCGCTCAGCAGGTCATTGTATTCTCGAGAGAGGCCAGTGCTGCTGATGGGCACCCCCACCTCATCCACAAATCGCTGAAGAGGATAGATATACACCTGTGTACAAACACACACACACACACACCATTAATAGATCAAAATAGCCCTGTAATGACATCCAACCTAATAAACATAAATCAATAACACAATACTTTCTCTCTTTGCAACACCTTGATTTTATTCTTGGGATTATATCCACAGCGATACACATCAAAGCAAGTGTGCATTCGACAGCTCAGGTCACCCCTCTCAGGAATAGGGCTGCTCATAGGTATCCTGACCAATGGAGCATCATGCACACTACGACGGTCCAGACTCCATTCTGCGGAGGATTCAATGGAGTGAGGCCAGAACTGGAACATCCCCGTTGCAATCAACCCCAGTAAGACCACAGAGAAGAGGGTGATGTAGTAGATCCGGTGTTTAGTCTTCATACGGGGTATGAGTGCAGGGCCCCGGGAACCGTACTTCACTGATGCACACATGATGAGCCTTTCCAGAGCCAAATCCACTGCAGAAGACACAAACAACACTGATGAACATCTGCACATGCACATGTCAGAGAATATCATCAAATAATTTAATAATAATTAATAACTGATTTAAGGACTATCACACAAATGTATGAATATAAGGTGCCTAAGAATGGCCAGTTAGTCCTTTCTGATGTCACCCATCCATTGAGTAATGAATTTCAACTGCTTCCTTCTGGCCGGAGATTTAAACTCCCTTTGTGCAAATCAAACAGATACAAGAATTCCTTTGTACCTGCTGCAATCATGTTTTTAAATGACTTATTATAAATGTGTGTTTTTATGTGTGTAGTGTTGCTGCTCCTGTATGTGCATGTATACTGCTGTCTACATAAAGAATTGCCTTTTAAGGACAATAAAGTTAAGTAATAAAAAAAAATGACATATAATAGCTGTACATGATCTTTACCAATTCATTTACTATACTTTTGATTCTTTAAAATACAATTTGTTTATTATATGACTGATTGTTCTAATTCGAATTTACATGGCTAATGCATTTAATGACATTTAAGTTATCATATGATTTTTCATTGGAAAACGGATTTATTATATTATTGATCCAATTAATTAAAACAAATTATGTTTGACTTATCTAATTCCAAATAATTTATACTTTGATCCATACTTTATTATATTAGTAATTGTTCTAATTCTAATTTATTATATGATTGTTAACTCTAGTTTGGATTTACTATATTATATCTAAATCCAATTAATTTATTAAATTATTAACGGGTGAGGTTCGAATTAATTTGTTTTATGACATGATAATTATTTGGAATTTGATGGATTAATCATATAATACATTTACTGAAATTAGACATGCTTGTTTCATCTAATTCCAATTCATTTATTATATGATTGATTGTTCTAACTCTACCAAAGGTATAATGGATTCTATACTGATTTCTTTTATTACTGGTACATTTAATTACAAAAAAATTATTATATGATTGATTTATCTAATTCCAATTAATTTACTACACGATTGATACATCTAAGTTAATCTATCATACAATTAACCCCTCAAACTCCAATTACTTTGTTTAGACCAATCCCTCTCATTTCTTTATGACTTATATTTATTAATAAAAGTAGGCCATTTTAAATAAACATTTTACTCAAAATATGTACTGTCTTGGGTTGTAAATAAATGCAAAACACACTCGCTAACGACAGCAGGTATGCTAGCAACTACAAAATCATTAACTAACCTTAACGGTGTCCAATTCTCTGCCTCAAATCTCAGCACGCCTCAACCATAATCTCAGTTGTTGCCCCAGTATGGTGTAAATGCTCAAAATGAATTTGTTGATTAAATGTTGTATACTATCCCACAACACATTCCTTTTGCTAAAGGGACAGCTGCCAGAAAAAAAAAATCGTCTCTCCTTCACGCGTAGTCCTATCCGTTATTCTTGTAATTCGGGTCGCGTGGCGCCATCTGCTGTACAGGGAGAATGAATGTGAGGCATAGGCTGCGTCTTGAAACCTAGTAAGCCGCCTACCTAGACAGCATTTTTGGGTGTCAATGCTATGTTCTGTATGTGTCTAGCTAGCTAGCTCACTAGTTATTTTAGACACCGCCATAAACAACAGATATCAAGTCATCATTTCAGCCACCATTTTTTTCTTATGGCGTAAATAAATTTAAACGTTATTACTGTGCATTATTTGAGTATTAGAGCGATCTTTTCTTTATGCCTGTTTTTTTAGGCAGTAAAACAGTCTTCTGGGTCCTGTTCTTCGACCGTGGTTTAACATATCCCGGATTGACCTAGCTCGATCTGAAATTGAGTTTTTTCGGCTCTTCTAACACATATTTCGGATTTATGTATCTAGCTAATAAAGACAGCTGACCGTTCATGTGAGGATTTATACATTTGTCTATCATGGCTAAACAGCGTGCTGCATTTTTCAGTGCTGCTGAATTGCAACTTATAATGGAAGGATATGAGGAAGTTAAACATTTAATAAAAACCAAAGGGAACACTATAGCGGCTGCAAAAGTCCGTCAGGATGCGTGGCGAAAAATAACTGCCAAATTAAATGCGTAGGTATACATTTAATTAGTCTGAGAGAGCACTAATTAAGCAGTTTTATGCAGTATATATATGACACACCTGTGCTGGCCATCTAGTCTGTGTATTATGTTTAGGCTACCTTCTTATTCTGCTGTTGGTCACGCTTAGATCCAACCCTATGGGACCTAGAAGAACGTGGCAACAAGTGAAGACGAAATACAAGAACATCGTTCAAAGTGGTAGGTCATGGGGTTTTTGTGTGGGTTTGATGCCCGTTGTTGTGTTTTTTTCTCTCTCTTTCTCTATGGTAGGGACTACACAGTATATTTTTTACACACTTTTAATGAGTACACACTAAAAAATGCTGGGTTAAATACAACCCAGTGCTGGGTAAAATAGGGACAAAGACAGCAAAACAGCCCAATTGCTGGGTTTGTCCCTATTTTACCCAGCACTGGGTTGTATTTAACCCAGCATTTTTTAGAGTGTAATGTCAGCTATATAATCCATAAGTATAAATGTCTAACTATGAAGATAAACACAAAGGTGTGTATAGCGCTTTTCACAATAAATATTTTAACCACACAGCGTTAGAACTAATAAAAAAAGCCCTTTAAAAGCCCAAATGGGTTGCAAGCTGTAGGTGACTGAGGCTTGGTGAAACCTAAAGGTTAGTACAACACAAATACAAACTAATCTTGACAGAATACGTGCAGTGCTTTACCCCACATCACATCAGATGTTTTATTTTTTTTAGTAATTATCATACGTCTAAAATACAAACTATTCTTGAAAGCATGTACAATGCAACACTTTTCCCTGAAACAGATTTGTTTGTTATTGTTGTTATAAAGAGTCAAAGTGAAATCAAACCTTTCTCCGTTTTACACCTTTTTTTTCTGACATTTTCCTCAGACCCTTAGCACCCTTGTTTGAAACCCCCTGTTCTATATTAAAAACTCAGAATTAGTTTTTAGTGTTTTGAATTGAATAACTTCAGGGTTTAACACAATTTAGCTAACAAGAGAAAGGCTGCACTGAAGAAGATGAGACTAGTCCCAACAAAAGAGGAGCACATGGATGAAGAGGAGCTGCCCCCTGAGAACAATGTGGACAGTCCTATCATAGCGAGCATAGTTGGTGGCTGCTGGTCTGATCCAGGAGATACAGCTGGCTGCAGCAGTTATGTCACAGGTACGTGCACCACATTCTTTATTTGTCTCTACAAATCGATACTGCAGTAAATATGCATAATTCATATCACATAATTTCAGTGACTGAACATGGACTGGCCCTACTTCAGCCACCTGTATTATCAGATGAAGAGCTGGACTCTGTAAGTTTACAGCTCTGTTTATTTTAATTTTTAATGGGATATCAATGATCATAGTATTAAATAAATATAGTATTTAATACACTAAATGCTTAGAAATATGTACACATTACTTTATTTTTAAATTGTATTAATATTTAATAAATAGTATGTGGATGGGCACAACAGTACTATTTGGTGATATGAAATGCAGGAAGATGTTTTAATGCTTTCTTTTTAAAGGAACCTGTGGAAGATGTTAAGACACTATACAAGAAGTATCTCCAAGTAGAGATCTCCAACAGAAAGCAAGAAATGGCATACAGAGCTTTAAAAATCAGCACTGGGTTGTATTTAACCCAGCATTTTTTAGAGTGTAATGTCAGCTATATAATCCATAAGTATAAATGTCTAACTATGAAGATAAACACAAAGGTGTGTATAGCGCTTTTCACAATAAATATTTTAACCACACAGCGTTAGAACTAATAAAAAAAGCCCTTTAAAAGCCCAAATGGGTTGCAAGCTGTAGGTGACTGAGGCTTGGTGAAACCTAAAGGTTAGTACAACACAAATACAAACTAATCTTGACAGAATACGTGCAGTGCTTTACCCCACATCACATCAGATGTTTTATTTTTTTTAGTAATTATCATACGTCTAAAATACAAACTATTCTTGAAAGCATGTACAATGCAACACTTTTCCCTGAAACAGATTTGTTTGTTATTGTTGTTATAAAGAGTCAAAGTGAAATCAAACCTTTCTCCGTTTTACACCTTTTTTTTCTGACATTTTCCTCAGACCCTTAGCACCCTTGTTTGAAACCCCCTGTTCTATATTAAAAACTCAGAATTAGTTTTTAGTGTTTTGAATTGAATAACTTCAGGGTTTAACACAATTTAGCTAACAAGAGAAAGGCTGCACTGAAGAAGATGAGACTAGTCCCAACAAAAGAGGAGCACATGGATGAAGAGGAGCTGCCCCCTGAGAACAATGTGGACAGTCCTATCATAGCGAGCATAGTTGGTGGCTGCTGGTCTGATCCAGGAGATACAGCTGGCTGCAGCAGTTATGTCACAGGTACGTGCACCACATTCTTTATTTGTCTCTACAAATCGATACTGCAGTAAATATGCATAATTCATATCACATAATTTCAGTGACTGAACATGGACTGGCCCTACTTCAGCCACCTGTATTATCAGATGAAGAGCTGGACTCTGTAAGTTTACAGCTCTGTTTATTTTAATTTTTAATGGGATATCAATGATCATAGTATTAAATAAATATAGTATTTAATACACTAAATGCTTAGAAATATGTACACATTACTTTATTTTTAAATTGTATTAATATTTAATAAATAGTATGTGGATGGGCACAACAGTACTATTTGGTGATATGAAATGCAGGAAGATGTTTTAATGCTTTCTTTTTAAAGGAACCTGTGGAAGATGTTAAGACACTATACAAGAAGTATCTCCAAGTAGAGATCTCCAACAGAAAGCAAGAAATGGCATACAGAGCTTTAAAAATGTGCAAAGTGGAGAAGGAAATTCAGTTATTGGACTGGAAATTGGATGCAAGTATGATATTTTGATAACTAACTGTCAGAATAAAGGAAAAGTGTACCTTTCAGACCCAGTAAAATCTGTTTTCAGACATTTTAATTTGTGTTTCCGTAGTTCAGTTGGGAAAACATGAATACAATGAAAGAGAAATAATGGTTTTCTATGTTAATTTCTGAAATTTTAAAATGAGTAAATAGTCAAAAATACAGCGACGTATAATTAAAAGTCTGACACTCAAGTGACTAGATAGATGGATAGATAGACTTTTCATTTGAAAGTGGGCTGAATAGGTGCACTTGTCTAAATATTTATTATGATTATTAGGATAATTTGTGTCTGGAACTATAGTAAGTGGAAATGTGCCTTTTTTCTTACTGCAGGCTGATCCTTCATGTTGAAAATAAACCTTTTTTTTATATAAACCTACTGTGTTCCTTTCAATATTTAAAAGTCACAAGTCACAGCAGTTATGTGCAGCAAGATCACTTTTAAACTGTGTATGGGGTGCTTGGCATGGAGCAAGGTTTGGGGTCATGAGAAAAGTCTGACACATGTAACCTCTGTCACCAGACACAATCATAATGGTACAATCATAATCATAACCTTGCTGAAATCGCTGACATAAAGCTGACTCAATGAATATTATGGAGTTGACCCTAGCTATTTGATTTCAATATTGACAGGAATATCAACAAGTTTGTGGACCGTCATATTTACATAATATGTTGGAGATGTGATTATCAAACCTGGTCCCCCATTTCTGACAGATCTGATTCAGCTACTTGCCTCCTAAGTAGAGTGTTGCATGATATAAATTGGCTATGCCAAAAGAATGCAGAAAGATCTTAAGATTCCAAGAATGACATCCAGTGTTGTTTGTGTCTAGTGTGAGTGATAAAATCTACCTCCAGTCTACCATTAAAAGCAACTAACAAATAGCTTAAATAGTTCATAAACGAATATATGTTATGTACAATTTAAACATTTTACAAACAGCACAAACAATACTTGCAAAGCAAAATGAAATAGGCAGTTCGCATTCAGAAAATAATTACAGGTAGTCAAGGAAATGAAATTCAGTAAACGATGTTGCTGACAAGTGGTTAATGGATGATTAACAATTGAAAAAATCAAATTCATTCTGGCTGCAAATCTAATGACAAGCTTGTCGGACATGATAAAACATGACTGTCAAACTCAAAGAGAACTGTTGATCTTCCATACATATTTCATTCAGGAATCAGTGATTTGTCCAACAATTCCTGCATTATTTTAGAGAACAGCAGATAAGGATGAAACTGTCATTTAGGCTTCTTAACCTGCTTACCTGTGTGTCTCTTTAAGTCCCATGAGTCTTGAGAACCAATGCACTGCCCAGGATATTTATCTTGTAGAGCCTGAGGCAGGGTAAGCAGCTTCTAATGCCTTTTTGCTATTCATACCTTTTCTTTGAACTGTAAACCACATTCACATTAGGTTGGTTTTAAAATCTGGCATCCTAGATAATATTTTCATTTTTAATATGCAATATTTATGCACCCTATTTATGATAC